GTCTCAGCTGATCTGCCAGAGCCTCGTCACATCTCAGCTGTTCATCCAGAGCCTCGTGACGTCTCAGCTGTTCGTCCAGAGTCCTAGTTCAGTTACGACCCCAGAAACTTTACCTGAGCTTCCTGTAGGCTCTAGTGGCCTTGTCACAGCCCAAAGACCCACCTTTGAACTCTTAACCCTGCATGTCATGAGCTCAGAAACTACAAACCATGTCTGTCCCGTTACCCCTGTCAGTGCCAAAGAAACCGCTAATGAACTGTTAATCTATCCTGTCTCAGTCTATAAGTATAATTCTGAACCATACGTCTGTTCCATTTCAACCAAAGAGCCTAATTTAGAATTGTCTGCTTATTCAATTGCAAACTATGAGCCCGTTTATGAACGGTCTGCCTGTGTAGTTTCGGTCAGTGAACTTGCTTATGAACTGTCTGCCCGCTCAGTTGTCACCAGGGAAAATATTGATGAACTTCTTGTGTTCCCTGCCACGGTCCTTGAGACCATATTTCCTTGAGACCATATATGCTCTGTCTGTTTCTTGTGTCTCAGTTTTCCCTAGGTCCCAATCTCTACCAGGGGTCTCTGTTCCGTCTGCTCCACCGTGGTGGTCTACTGTCTGGCTCTGGTGGTCCATGGACTTCCGTTCAATCACCACCAGAGGTCACCCTTCCATTACATTGACTCTCGCACTACACAAACTGTTGCATGTCATCCCGGACTACATATCCCATCATCCATTGCACTGATTGCACACAGCACTGATTGCACACAGCTGTAACCAATCACACATTCACTATATAACACTCTATTCACTATATTTCCCCCTTATTTTTTTTCCCCTGATCATGGATGGGAAAGGGACATCGAGGCTGTCCTTGCCTGATTGCAGAGAGAGGATGAGGAAGACCATGACGACGCCCCTGAACCACACAATCTTGAACAAGAGCAGGAGAACATGTGCGGGACAATCTGGCTATCGCTGTGTCTGCTCCAAACATTTGTGTGCTGCTCTCCATGAGCACGACTATCTTCAAAACATTTAACATCAGCATTTCATTTAATACGTTTACAATTACATGCTAATTTTTGTCATAGTTTCATTACTTTTGTGGTGTAGTGGGCAAAACCACTGAACTGGTAGGCAGAAGGTTGCTGGTTCGATCTCTGCAGTAGTCACCACCGGTGTGTCCTTCAGTAAGGCTCTTTACTCCAGGTTGCTCCAGGGGGATTGAGGTCCCTGTAATAAGAGCACTGTAAGTCACTTCGGATAAAAGTGTCTGACAAATGAATAAATGTAAATGTGATTTTTGTAAATCCTTTTTTGTGTCTTGGGCACAAACGCTCAATAAAGCTGCTTATTTCTTAAAGTTTATTTCTTCAAGGTATTACTATAATATAAATGCATGCATATATTTCATACAGTTACTATTTGGGGGGTTTAAAGGGTTAGTTCATCCAAAAATATAAATTCAGTCATTATTTACTCACCTCCACACTGTTTCAATCCTTGCTTTTTTTTTTTTTTTCTCTGAACACAAAAGTTGATTATAGTTAAGTTTGTCATGCTGGTTTCTGTTCATACAATATCAGTCAATGGAGCCTGATTTTCAGAAGCTTCATGACTTTATTTGATGATGCTTTTGAAGCTTCTGAAACTCGGGCTGTTGCTGCAGGGGGATTGGGGTCCCTGCAATAAGGGCACTGTAAGTCACTTCGGATAAAAGTTTCTGATAAATGTAAATGTGATTTTTGTAAATCCTTGTTTGTGTCTTAGGCACAAACGCTCAATAAAGCTGCTTATTTCTTAAAGTTTATTTCTTCAAGGTACTACTTTTTCTTTTTGGGGGGTTTAAAGGGTTAGTTCATCCAAACATATAAATTCAGTCATTATTTACTCGCCTCCACACTGTTCAATCCTTGGGGTATTTTAATTTTTTTTCCTGAACACAAAGTTTGTCCTGCTGGTTATGTTCATACAGTATCAGTCGATGGGAGACTGACTTTCAGAAGCTTCATGACATTATTTGATGATGCTTTTGAAGCTTCTGAAACTCGGGCTCCATTGACTGATGTTGTATGAACCGAAACCAGCAAGTCAAACTTGACCAAACTCACATCCTCAGTATCTTTTGGTCTTTCTCTAGATCAGGGGTGTCCAAACTCGGTCTTGGAGGGCCGATGTCCTGTAGAGTTTTGCTCCAACTTGCCTCAACACACCTGCCTGGAAGTCCAGTCTGCAGACATTTCAGATCCTGCAAAGATGCACAAACACAATACAAAAGCAGTCATTTTAACAGCACAATGTCATTTGATTTCTGTATTAGAAGTAACAGAATGATCTTACTTTATATTTTTGTTTCAGGTTTCCCCTTTTTTTCACAAATGAAAAGTCACCTTGCCTTGCAGGTCCTGCTCCACCACAAAAGCCCTACAGCAAATGCACAGAAATCAAGAATCAGAAAAGTGCTGTGATAACTCTGTTTGAAATTACAGTAATTAAAATAAACTACAACTTAAGATTTAAAAGATGTTTTATTCATTTCTGTAGTATACTCACTCAAAGCCTTTGATGGCAGCATTCCTTCATCAGTCACTCTGCACCGTGTATTTGATATGTAATACTCACATTTGTAAACACCCTCGTCGCTGTTCTCCATCATGTTCGATGATGAAGTATCCTCTCCCGTGGGCTTCTGGGATAGAAAAGTATCCATCGATGAGCACTTCAGAATCTGGCCTGAAGCAGTAGGACATCCGGGGATTTCTCGCCTACTCTTTTATGAATACTGACGTTTCGGACATACTACTTTCTTCACATACTCTTTTCTCCTACTATATAGTAGGGAAGGAGGCGGTTTCGGACGCAGCCCCAGAGAAACGTTTCTACACACGAAGAAGCTCATAATCACATGATTAGGATAGTATATGATTTTTATGTGATTTCACGATTTCAATCATCATGCAGTAACCAGCATCACCCTGAACCACTTTTTTTTTTTTCTTAATACAGATCTGCAAGATTCACGTGACGTGGGTCATTATTTTAGGAATTCCTGATTACACTGGTAGAATCACATCGCTGAGTAGATGAGTTTACCTGACAAAAATATGCCATCCCTGCAGCACTCTATTTCAATTAAGTCCATCCAGTGCTGCTCCCTAGTGTTTTAAAGTTTTAAAACATACCAGGTGACAATAACCCTCATTATTATTGTAAGATAAAAAATTTTTTTTAATAGGCCCAACTTGTAAAATGCATTTCACTGCAAACATAACATTCAACACTTTAAATCTATTCTATAAGGCTTCCACTGTAAATAAGCTTTTCATTTTTGATAAACTTAATATCATTTACCAAAGTACAGTTTTAAATAATCAAATAATTCAAATGTTGCAAAGTTGTGTATAGTATTTGTTTATTATAGAAAAAAAACTGCACATCAAAGAGTCACGCCAGTGGAAATAACTGGTCAGAATTGGAATGAGACTGTAGTCCTTGGCACTGAAACATAGTTTTCTGTATGTTCTCTGTATCTCTGCCTGTAGCATGTGCAATGTTGCAGCTTTAACCCATAAGATAACCACTGCAAGACAAACACATTCAGATCATCATTAGAAATACAGAGAGTTCATCAAACACAAGACAAGAGAGATAGTGGTCTAAAACCACAATATGATTAAATATATTTTAAAGAAACAGTGCTAAAACAATGCTGCTATCTCCCTGAAATACACTGAGAATAATAATAATAATTATAATATTGAAGAATGAGTAGTGTGTCCAAACCTTGGTAGTGTAATACAATATAAACATATAAATAATGTTCAAAAAGCTAATGTAAAGTTTAGTGACTTACGGTAGTTTCATTCTCATGAAGACTCTGGCCATAAAAAAGCTCAGCAGCACACTGACAAAGCCGATGAAGAGCAGGAGGAAACGGTTGAGCTTGGGAATGTTTGGTGCATTAGAGCGATCCAGAATTATGAATCCAAGACCTCCCATGGTGAAGAGAAAACTGGAGGCCAACCCCTCCATGATGTACTGCCCATTCACCCTTTAAAAGAGAACACAATCATTCAGCACTACACTTTCACGTTACACTTTGGATACTTGGATTCAATAAACAGAATTTTATAAGATATATCGCTGTTTCAGTTTTGTTTTAATTATTGTGCTTGTGTAGCCCCAGTTGTTTATTTTACAAGTGAAACACTGTCACTGTGCCTCAAGTACATCTAAAGCGCCACCAGCTGGTTGATTTTATGATGACCAGCCGTAATAAACCCTTTACCTGTACGCCAGAAAGGCCACTGGCCTCTGATGCCCGTGTTCATCTGTCATTGATCCGACACTTGGAGGTTCAACGATCACATCATATATGATGCCTGAAGAGATCAAATTATTATGATCACAGTACGGTTCAATCATCCAGAGACAGAGTAATGTCGCACTTAAAAGCATTTAACCAACTATTTATATGAGAAAAATAATAATAAACTTTCGTTTCATTCTAACTAATGTAATATGTAGCCAGGAGCAAAAGAGTAAGTCATTCTGTCTGCAGTGAGCAATATAATTTGAGATTTATGAATGATAACAGCACTGTCAGAGAAAACAGGTTAACGTTAACTCGCAAGATTATTTAACAAAACACGAAGCATGCGTCTTCATATTAAATTGAACTGTAATACACAAAAACTTTACTGCAAATTTTTACTAGTAGATAAAAGATTATGCTGTCACACACACACAAAATAGGAGGATAAGGGTTAGCTGAATGCTAGTTACTGAGATGGCTTTAAAATTCTTACCACCGGTAATGAGAAAATATGAAACAATCACGACGGCATATACGGTCATTGCAGAAGGCATATGTAGCCATGACGGTTTTTTAAGTTTGATGTTCGGACATTCCAGTACAGTAAACGGTAGGCTAAAGAGAGTCTCCATGGTTCAATTGAGTGCTATATTCCTGTGGCTGCCCGGCTAACGCATACGTCACATTGGTCGTAGAGCGACGTGTACAGGAAGAGACTGGAGAGAGTTCCCAACTTCCGATTAGATGAGATGGGTCTGGCCAGAGCCGTAGAGAGAGAGAGTTGCGACAACTCCGTTCACTCCAATGGACCAGTTTTTTACAGCAATGGCGGATCGTGGAGCCGCTCAATAGTTCCCGGAAGTTAGCGCTAATACTATCAGCGCCGTAGAGATGCAGCAGAAGAGACCGCTGTGACGAACTTTTAAAAGGTAAGACATTTATAGAACAAAATAGTATGTTATCAGCACAGCTAATCAAATTACCCTGTGCATTAAAACAGATGATTATTAGATTATTCCTCACTTAATTAGTAGATTTACGGGATGTTATTCATTCTCTTCATGCAGTTTCATCCATCGTTGTGTAATTTAAAAGTGATTTTGCTGGTGGGGAGTTATTAAATAGACTTAGATATATTGCAAAGGATGCAGATGGACCAAAGTGAGAATGAAAAGTTTAATGTAGGTGAGCAGTTTTCATTTCAGAATCATGATAGGCTAAATTTCCAAAAATGTATTATATACCACTACTATATTATAGAAGTAATTACAGTAAACCTGTACATTATTACTGTATTTTATACTTAAACGTCTTAGCTACTAAAGAAGCACTGTGTTGAAGGAGCAGATGCCACAGGACTGCAATGTGATGGAGCATCACTTAACCATTTCTCCTGTGTTTTTCTCCTTCGCTATCTTGCTTTCAGAACAAGAACCACCTGAAGACTGTAAAGAGACATCACCCTCACAATGAGTCTCTTCACTGGTTTTGGCAAGTCTTTCCCTGCCGTCACCTTTCCTTGCAGGTCCTGCTCCACCACAAAAGCCCTACAGCAAATGCACAGAAATCAAGAATCAGAAAAGTGCTGTGATAACTCTGTTTGAAATTACAGTAATTAAAATAAACTACAACTTAAGATTTAAAAGATGTTTTATTCATTTCTGTAGTATACTCACTCAAAGCCTTTGATGGCAGCATTCCTTCATCAGTCACTCTGCACCGTGTATTTGATATGTAATACTCACATTTGTAAACACCCTCGTCGCTGTTCTCCATCATGTTCGATGATGAAGTATCCTCTCCCGTGGGCTTCTGGGATAGAAAAGTATCCATCGATGAGCACTTCAGAATCTGGCCTGAAGCAGTAGGACATCCGGGGATTTCTCGCCTACTCTTTTATGAATACTGACGTTTCGGACATACTACTTTCTTCACATACTCTTTTCTCCTACTATATAGTAGGGAAGGAGGCGGTTTCGGACGCAGCCCCAGAGAAACGTTTCTACACACGAAGAAGCTCATAATCACATGATTAGGATAGTATATGATTTTTATGTGATTTCACGATTTCAATCATCATGCAGTAACCAGCATCACCCTGAACCACTTTTTTTTTTTTCTTAATACAGATCTGCAAGATTCACGTGACGTGGGTCATTATTTTAGGAATTCCTGATTACACTGGTAGAATCACATCGCTGAGTAGATGAGTTTACCTGACAAAAATATGCCATCCCTGCAGCACTCTATTTCAATTAAGTCCATCCAGTGCTGCTCCCTAGTGTTTTAAAGTTTTAAAACATACCAGGTGACAATAACCCTCATTATTATTGTAAGATAAAAAATTTTTTTTAATAGGCCCAACTTGTAAAATGCATTTCACTGCAAACATAACATTCAACACTTTAAATCTATTCTATAAGGCTTCCACTGTAAATAAGCTTTTCATTTTCGATAAACTTAATATCATTTACCAAAGTACAGTTTTAAATAATCAAATAATTCAAATGTTGCAAAGTTGTGTATAGTATTTGTTTATTATAGAAAAAAAACTGCACATCAAAGAGTCACGCCAGTGGAAATAACTGGTCAGAATTGGAATGAGACTGTAGTCCTTGGCACTGAAACATAGTTTTCTGTATGTTCTCTGTATCTCTGCCTGTAGCATGTGCAATGTTGCAGCTTTAACCCATAAGATAACCACTGCAAGACAAACACATTCAGATCATCATTAGAAATACAGAGAGTTCATCAAACACAAGACAAGAGAGATAGTGGTCTAAAACCACAATATGATTAAATATATTTTAAAGAAACAGTGCTAAAACAATGCTGCTATCTCCCTGAAATACACTGAGAATAATAATAATAATTATAATATTGAAGAATGAGTAGTGTGTCCAAACCTTGGTAGTGTAATACAATATAAACATATAAATAATGTTCAAAAAGCTAATGTAAAGTTTAGTGACTTACGGTAGTTTCATTCTCATGAAGACTCTGGCCATAAAAAAGCTCAGCAGCACACTGACAAAGCCGATGAAGAGCAGGAGGAAACGGTTGAGCTTGGGAATGTTTGGTGCATTAGAGCGATCCAGAATTATGAATCCAAGACCTCCCATGGTGAAGAGAAAACTGGAGGCCAACCCCTCCATGATGTACTGCCCATTCACCCTTTAAAAGAGAACACAATCATTCAGCACTACACTTTCACGTTACACTTTGGATACTTGGATTCAATAAACAGAATTTTATAAGATATATCGCTGTTTCAGTTTTGTTTTAATTATTGTGCTTGTGTAGCCCCAGTTGTTTATTTTACAAGTGAAACACTGTCACTGTGCCTCAAGTACATCTAAAGCGCCACCAGCTGGTTGATTTTATGATGACCAGCCGTAATAAACCCTTTACCTGTACGCCAGAAAGGCCACTGGCCTCTGATGCCCGTGTTCATCTGTCATTGATCCGACACTTGGAGGTTCAACGATCACATCATATATGATGCCTGAAGAGATCAAATTATTATGATCACAGTACGGTTCAATCATCCAGAGACAGAGTAATGTCGCACTTAAAAGCATTTAACCAACTATTTATATGAGAAAAATAATAATAAACTTTCGTTTCATTCTAACTAATGTAATATGTAGCCAGGAGCAAAAGAGTAAGTCATTCTGTCTGCAGTGAGCAATATAATTTGAGATTTATGAATGATAACAGCACTGTCAGAGAAAACAGGTTAACGTTAACTCGCAAGATTATTTAACAAAACACGAAGCATGCGTCTTCATATTAAATTGAACTGTAATACACAAAAACTTTACTGCAAATTTTTACTAGTAGATAAAAGATTATGCTGTCACACACACACAAAATAGGAGGATAAGGGTTAGCTGAATGCTAGTTACTGAGATGGCTTTAAAATTCTTACCACCGGTAATGAGAAAATATGAAACAATCACGACGGCATATACGGTCATTGCAGAAGGCATATGTAGCCATGACGGTTTTTTAAGTTTGATGTTCGGACATTCCAGTACAGTAAACGGTAGGCTAAAGAGAGTCTCCATGGTTCAATTGAGTGCTATATTCCTGTGGCTGCCCGGCTAACGCATACGTCACATTGGTCGTAGAGCGACGTGTACAGGAAGAGACTGGAGAGAGTTCCCAACTTCCGATTAGATGAGATGGGTCTGGCCAGAGCCGTAGAGAGAGAGAGTTGCGACAACTCCGTTCACTCCAATGGACCAGTTTTTTACAGCAATGGCGGATCGTGGAGCCGCTCAATAGTTCCCGGAAGTTAGCGCTAATACTATCAGCGCCGTAGAGATGCAGCAGAAGAGACCGCTGTGACGAACTTTTAAAAGGTAAGACATTTATAGAACAAAATAGTATGTTATCAGCACAGCTAATCAAATTACCCTGTGCAATAAAACAGATGATTATTAGATTATTCCTCACTTAATTAGTAGATTTACGGGGTGGGGTGCACAAGAATCAAAAACATTGAACAAGATTAGTTTTCACTTAATAAAATATCTTCATTTATTTGGAATGAATTTTCTAAGACAACAAACTTAACATTTACCATGAGATTAGTAAAACGACAATGAACATTAAGATGTGATTGAACTTGACTAACATGCAAGTTGTAAGAACACGCACACATATAATTATATTTATATAGAGAGGCAAATTACTTTGTCAGAAGACCACGATGTCATTTATATAGCATACACGGACTTTTATCATGGTAAATTCAGCCTAAAATATGTTAACAAGGCAGGTAAGGATAGCTGACCACATTAATCCTCAAATAGTAGCAGATTTTATCTTTTAAAAACAACACTGATATAACTACATATATATACTACGTATACATGTATACATTATTTTATAAATAATGTAAATAAATTATTTTATTGTCTACTAATTACCAAAAATCACAGTCCTGTCTCTCCAACTCAATGTATTTCACTTGCCCGCTATGAACTTCCTGGAACTATTTGAGGTCTACGTCAATCACGTGACGATCGAGCGTTTTGGACTTCCGTTGACGCAACTCTCTCTTTCTATGGCTCTGGGTCTGGCTGCAGACCGTGGGCGTCTGGGCGAGTGGAGCTCCACTCTCGAGCAGGAAATACGTCACCTCCATGCAGTGTTGCCAAGTCCACGGTTTTCCCTCGGAATTGGGTAACTTTAAAATCTGTAGCCCTGGGTTGTTTTTCATGTCCACAGGTTGCAGCGAACCCAATAACGTGATATTTAGCCCATGCAATGCAAATTTTACCAGGGGAACCTTACCAAAAAAACGTGCATTTTTTAATCTTATTTCTAAGATGATATTTCTGTGGTAACAACCACACTTTTCTCGAGCAAATCAATTTTCCATTTAATAAACCGTTCCAATGAGACAAAACATAAGGCACAGTAACAATTTTTTTTTGGAAAGGAGTACGAATAGCTCCATTATTACTCATGAAATTTCAATGATTTCATGAAAAACAAATTTAACCAACGTAAGATTTAGTAACATCAAGAGACGCTGAATTGGGAGAATGGTCTTTATCAATAGGCTACCTAACATGTGAGTACCTGAAGGGATTCAGTGTTGGGCAGTAACGCGTTACTAGTAACGCAGTTACTTTTGACAGTAACTAATACTGTAACGCATTACTTTTTAAATAAATTAACTCCGTTACCGTTACCATATGGTGCGTTGTCCGTTACTTTTTTTAATTAATTAATTTTGGCTGAAGTGTAACCTACATCCTAACCTGTTTACAGCAGCGACGCATTGTAGGATTGGTGGATGTTGAGTTACTTTTTGAATGAAGTAACTAGTAACTGTAACTAGTTACTATTTCTTAGTAACTAGCACAACACTGAAGGGATTGGACCAATAACAATTGAGAACTCTCTTTGAGGAATTGGTATTTTACAATAAGAAAGGAATTCATCATAAGAAAAGAGTGTTGCTTCTTTGTTGTATAACTGACTAACCAATTTAATATTGTTGTCAAACCAGTTCTTAAAAAAAAAGAGATTCATGTTTGTATAGAATGTTTCTATTATTTCATATGAAATAGAGATGCAGAGAAAAATTATGCTTAAATATTAATGACCAAGATTGGAGCATTTGTTTATTTTTGCAAACTGCTTGAAAATTTGTGTTTTCAGCATGGGTGTGTGTAATTTGCATTGTAGAGCAAAAGTATTGTCAAGTTATGTTTATCACAGACCTTATTTTATTCATTATTTGTAAAACCCCATTATAAAAACCCATTGGAAAACCTTGAGGGAACCAGCTGAGAATTAGTCTTTATTAGTCAGGTTTTGACATCACAACTAAAAAACACCCTATTCTCAGGGAAAGCAAGAACTGAAACCTGTTCTAAACCTAATATAAATCTATTATTATATCACTTAAAAAAATAGCTGAATCAACAAGCTGAAGTGTAAGCTTTCACAATTTCTAACGAAAATTAATAATTTTCCAAGCCTAACTAAATAACTGGAGACAGAGTTATTTTTAATTCCATGTAGTTCACAAGCCACTGAAATAGGCTGATAAATGTAAACGTTATCGTGTTTTTATCCAGAAAAAAAAAAACCGCAGCAAAAAACCGGTCCGGGCAAGACTGCCTTAAAAACAAATGGAGGTAAACGGAGGAGCTCCATTTGTTTTTAAGGCAGTCTTGCCCGGACCAACATGGCAGACGTGTCGCTAGTGGAGGTGTATTACCACAGGCAGGCTTGCCCTGACCAACATGGCGGACGCGTCGCTAGTGAAGGTGACGTATTTCCGCTCTTGAGTGGAGCTCCACTCGCCCAGTATGTCTGCAGCCAGACCCTATTGAATTAGATCAGCCGGTCTCTCTCCCCTTGTCCAAATACCTGCACTCGCGGTCTTTGCGCCTGACCACTTGACTACTTATTATGACGTATTTCCTGTATTTGGTTCAAGTGAGCATGAAGACCACGCTGCATCTGAAAACTTACGCCCGTTTCACACCGCACGCGTAAGCAGAGCAGAGGCAGCGCAGAAGCGGCACGTATGCAGAGCGGGAGCAGCGTATGTGGTGTGATTTATGCACTTTTTGCTGATTGCTAAGCATTTTGCTGATTGCTAAGCTGATTGTGTTTTGCTAAGTTCAAAACACAGATCTCCGTCATTCGCTGGTCAAAAACCTTGTTAACTCCATTTGAGCTTGATTTTCATAAAATGTTAAGTGCAAGTGTCTGATAAAGCCACATACCACATCTATTTGTTTTATATTTCAGTAGTAGTGTGCATACATCTCTCTTCCCCATTACACAGCTATTAAAATAGTTCAGTTTAGTTTTTTAATGGCAAAGTGGTCATATTTCTTTTTGTTTCTTTATAAAGTTCATTTAGAAATATGTTTGGAACATTTTATGTTTGTTAAATTCAAGTTTTTGTTGTTTAAAGGAACGACCAAGCGGCAGACAGTGAGTTGAGCATTATGTTTGATCAATTTAGCCTTCTCAAACCAACACGACTTGCCTAAAATAAACAGACATAAAACACTTCATGCATTTCACTGTATTAATTTAAACATTTAACGTAGATAAATGAGTGCTGTTAGGCGCATATCCAAACGTTTGCGCGGAGAGTGGAAGCTAAAGCGCGCTTTGGAGGACATGAAGGCGCCAGCGCGATCACTTGCATTTTTTTTAATAACAGAGGAAACTAAAATATACGCCGTCATTTTTGCTCATAACGGTAAGAGTATGCATCATTAGGAACTGCAAAGGGTCTACTTGTATTTGTGTGCACTCACAATATCAAAAAAATCTTGTGCTTTTGTGAAACAAGGAAAACAAACAGGATGCGCTTTCTGTCCTCTTGGTATTGAGCAGGAGCGCTTCACCGACATGATAAATATATCTATAGAATGATTTAAATTACTATTTTAAAATGAAAACAAAACCTCTTTCATTATGCAATCCTTAAAGATGAATTTCTCTCTAAAGGCATGTCCAATGAGGAGATGGCGAGTCAGGTTCCTCAAAT